ACACATTGTTACAGACAATGCTACAAACTTTGGAAAGTGTTTTCGAACTTTTTCCAATGTATTAGAACAGTCAAATGAATACGATGTTGTYAATTTTAATACTGATGATTCAGATACTGAGAGTACAATCAATTATAATCATGAATCATAMAGTGATAATGAAAACAATTAATCTAACATCGAAAGAACTAATGTCAGTTCAGTGTTAACAAGCTATTATGGACTTGAACTTCAAGCTTTTTGGAACCTAGTTAGTAGAAGCTCTGTAGTATCAGATAAAGTGTATGAGCATTGTAATTGTAAGTTTCCAATTCCAGTTGTAACCAGATGGAACTCTAAGCATGATGCTACAAAAAAAAAATGTTATTTCATAAAAAAAAGTTGAAGGTGTATTTGATATACTAAAGTTAAATAAGTTCAAACCTAATGAATGGTTGTTTTTTGATGAATACTGCAAATTGATGGAACCATTAAAAAGTTCGTTGGACAAATTACAAGGTGAAAAACATTGTTACCTAGGTTATGCTTGCAGCCATGCCCCCTGCGGATCTGATCGGGCACGAGAGACAAAGAATAGCGTCTGACTGGCTGAGGCCAGAGAGCCTGGAGCGACACCRTTGTCAAGAAACGCGATAAAAAGAGAGTAGAGGAAGATCACAATTCGTCACTGGCAGGCGAGATGGTTGGCTACGAGTAAAGCGTCGTGGACGCACACGCTCATTCTGGACGTGGGAAGGTGGCTCGGGAAGCCAGTCCCCAATGTGCCCCTGTCATTCCATATGACTTTCAGGCATACCTACACAGAATGGGTAGAGCCTCCTCGCCAGATTGAATACACTGCGGCCACGAGTTGGACGACGCCGACCACACGCTCTTTGAGAGCGAGTTCTTCAGAGGGCAYAGAGACGAACTCAGAGATCGTCTAGGTCGGATCCCGAGCGCGGCTGATATGGCCGAGTTGGTGTGTGGCCCGGACTTCGAGGGTCTTCCCGCCAACGACGTTGAAAGGAACAGGATCCTTCTTGAAGCCGACGAAGACTTCYGGCAGTTATACAGGATGGTGGAGTCAATCTTGACATTGAAAGAACTCGAGGAGAGAACGAGGCAAGCCGCGGAAGGAAGATTTCCGGCTGTTAGATGAACAGCCGTTCCCAGAACGGGACTTCCAGACCGGCGGGCTTCGGCCGGGTCGAGAAGAAAAAAAGGATGGTACGAGACTCCAGGCCGGCGGGCCAGGTCGGCAGGATGTCCAATCACTGTCAGTAGATAGCCAGAGAGATCCGGAGACCGACGGCACCGCATTCAACCGTTATTTGTAAATGTACATATTATTGTAATCGTTCTCATGTAACTCTATTTAAATTGTGAGGAGATGAGGTGGGGGACTGTCCCACCTTCCTTCAGTTGTTGATGTTATTTATTGTTTTTAAATAAACGATGG